TAATAAAAATTATAATACAAAACAATATATAAAATGTAATAAAAACCATGAAACAAAAGAAAGAAAGAAAAGTAATATATATAACTTTTAGTAAAAACTATAATATAAACTATATAGAAAAGAAAAAAAAAAGGTATTGTATCCCATAATGTAAAATCATATATAAAACAATATTGCATATATATATTGAAACAAAATGAAACATGTAGTATCAAAATTTGAAATAAAAAGAAACATGCATATATTTGTTTTAAATAAACGAGATAGCAGTGTATGTATACATCAAAACAAGCTAACGTATACATATGCTTACTATAACAGCAGTATATGTATCAAACTTTGAGACAAAAATAGTGCACATGCATATTTTAAAGCAATCAAAACCAGCAAGGGTATATCAGACAAAGCATTCCAACTCAAGCAGTCATAAAATCGAAAAGAAAAAATGCGTAAACAAACGAGACGAACACATTACCACTGAGTTTGTTTTTGCGGTAGCTCAAATCGAAACCGGACACTAAGTTGTGAGCTGTTGAGTTGTTAAGTTGTTGTAACCGTCATTGTTGAGTCGCGGTTGTAACTGCTGAACCGAACGAGAACTTGTTGGAATGTTGTCGATGTTACGAACCGAAACGGAGGTGCTATGCTGTGTTAATGTGAACACAGTTGAAGTTTCTTCAACTCTCCTCACGTAGTGTAATGGTCTCTCAACACCAGCCAACTCCAAAAGGTGCAATGTGTTGTTGTTTCATAGTCCATTGGTGTGTGAAGATGTTGTTGATAAGCATATGGTAGAGTGTGACAGTACTGTGAGTGTTTGTGAAGGAGAATAATTGATGGCGATGAAGGAATGAAGATGAAAGTTTGAAGTTGGAGTGTTAAAGGGGTGGATGATAGTAGCTTATAGTCTTTAGAAGAGTGATGGAAATGGCGGTTTCTTGCGCATGAAAAGCAAAGGGTGGTATAAAAGAAGATGAAAGTAGGAGAAAGTGAGAGGTAGTAAGAAGGTTGGTGTAGTAAAAAATGTGTAGAGTCTTGTCTTATTGATGTGAGTGGTTTTGTGAGAGCCCTTTTTTTCTAGATTTTGTGGAATTTTGGGGTCTAGTAGATTGATGTGGCTATGAGAGAGAGGGTAGCTCATGAGTATATTAGTACTCAAAAAATGGACAAAATCTCCTTTATTACTACAAAATCAAAAACTTTTTCAAAAGTTCCACAAAATAAGGAAAAGATAAACATAAAAAGAATAAAATATTTACAATAAAATCTAAAATAAAGATTTGACAGATTAAAAGAATATATTAATTAAAAGTAGAAATAAAGACAGTAAAACACGAATAATTGGGTCGGTATCGAAGTACTCAAAAAAATAAAATGAATACATCAAAGTGATTAGCAAAAAATATACGATTCGGAAAAATACGGCATTTTGTCAAATCTTGAAATAAATTTTACCCGCTAAAACGGCTTAAACTGTCCAAAAAGTTTATTTCAGCTGATAAATTGGGTATTATGAAAAATGTAAGAGATGATAAACTATACAGATGATGCAAAAAGATGTGGGATCTTAGAGTCAAAAATTAGGGTGCAACAAGTATTTATCGTGGTATAGTGAAAACCGAGGTAACATATCCGACGTAAAAACTACATAAAATAAAGGTGCCATTTTGGTTTCAAAAAGAATAAAAAATGGAGAGTATTTATCTCAATTTTAATGAAAATCGAGGTAACATATCCTACGTAAAATCTATAAAAATGGAGAGTATTTATCTCAATTTTAATGAAAATCGAGGTAACATATCCACCGGAATTATGACCTTTTACTCAGGCACAGGCTACACATAGTAGGAGAAGTAAAATATGCAGTCCATCATTGTTTGATGGCCAACCATGGTGTTAAACTTGAGAATTTGAAGCGAGTTCTTAGTCACCCTCAGGTGTGATTCTGACATTTTATACCTTTTTTCCTTCTTCTCTTCCAACAATAAACTCATCGAAGATGGTGTTGCCTTAGGCTCTTGCACAATGTGAGAACACCTTGACAAGATTTGGCTTAGTCAGAGAAGCAGTTGATGATACAGTCGGTGCTGCAAAGGTAATTGTGGAATTGTTGGAAGCTATTTTTCTTGTATCATTTCAAGTGTTTCTGTTTATTAATGGTCACATTTATGTACATTTGACTTGCTTAGAAATGAAGCACTAGATAGCTCATAATTTGTTTTGATTTTAAAAAGCCTGGTTAACAAATGTCCTTAGGGTACTGGTTAAGGAATCAAGTAATGAAAAAGTCATCCACTAAATATCAGTTAATGATTGTATATTGCACCTTGGGGTGAAGGATGGATAGATTATCATTTTCTGCTGCTGTTGTTGACATGATTATCAATATTAGTTATCCTAACACAGTTACAGATTATAGCATGTTGCTTTCCATAAACTACAAGATGCAGGAGCTGTTGCTAGCTTAGCTGCCGCAAAGATCTATGGCTTAAATATACTTGCTCTAGACATCCAGGTTTGAGTCTTTGTGTTGCTCTGTTTTAAATGACATGGTAGACAATTTGTGTTTATCTTAAATTTGATGCCTGATGGATTTGCATTGGCAGGATGATAGTGATAATATCACTCGATTTTTAGTGTTGGCGCGAGAACCTATACTTCCAGGCACAGACAAGCCATTTAATAGGTATGACTTATTGAATGATTAGAGAAGAAAAGGAATGATCCCTACACTGCAGAATCACATCTCCACACCAAGATATCTCTCTCAAACACACAACCGTACTCTCCCGTCCCATAACCGTTTATAAAATTATTCCTGTATCAACTCTCCTGTCCCATAACCCCGCATATAAAATTATTCAAAGTGTCTGTATTTCTTATTGTTTTGTTGTTTCTATCAACGTGGTTCAATCCCTCCCCTCTCATACCTTCTCAGAAAATTAAAAGAAAAGAAGAAAGATATCCAATGTAAATATTGAGGACTTAACTTCCTACTAGACGAATGTCTTTGCTAAAACTGTAGTGACATGATGCTATTGGGCTCACCTCTTGTTCAGATAAAAGACTTTTGTAGCATAACCGTATATGTACAAGTTATTTCTATAACAACATATAAAATAACGTCATATGGTTTTCATATAAGTTAGAGGCCGTTCTCATAAATAATCCAGAAGGGTTTATGGAAATTAAAAAAAAAAACAATTTATGGACATGGCACAAATTGTTTTTATAATCTTTAGTGTAGTACAAATGTTTATGTTCGGAAATAAATTCAAACGAGTAAATTTAACAGACTCTAAGAAACCCGGATTGGGGCGGGGTATTATTTCTTTTTATATTTATTGTGTAATTTGATCGGCTATCATGTAATTGTAATGAGTTATTATTTACATTATTCACTTTGGAACTTTTATTGTTCTGATGCTTTTTGCTGTTAACTATTGACAATGCAGGACTTGCAGATTTAGCTACTGTTGCATATGGAACAGTTCTCCCAGCGGCGGAATCATGTTAATGGAAATACATGATCGTGTTTACATTGATTCAATATACAGACAGATAAAGAGAAAACAGTATCAAACGTGCAAGATCCTCAAAATTTTGATGGGTGTGGTATTCAGCATTTTGAATGCGTGTGTGTTTGTGCAAATACTATCTTACCTGATTGCAAGAATGTAGTGCTTAACACTGCAAAGGTTTGTCCTCCTTTCATTTGTGCTAAGTTGCTTGCATAATGATGATATTCATAATAACAACAACAGTTTTATGGCAGATTAATTCTGCATCTGCAATTTCAAGCTTCGTAACCGAATCTTCGAAAGAAGACATTAGATCTTTAGAAACTTCTAGTTCAAAATGGAGTTGGACAAGCGAACCTGTTGGTATTTCGAAGGATGATTCATTGTCAAAAACTGGATTACTCAAGCAAATAAATACCACGTCTGATAGAAGTGACTACTTGTGGTACTCGTTAAGGTAGTTAAGCCTTTAAGTTTGAAAGATATTTCGTCTGACCCATGATTCTATGCTTCTCGGTAACACTTTTCTTTTATACTTTTTTAAAGCATTGGTCTTGTTATAATATTTTCTCAATTCCATCAGGTGGATGTCTCTCGGTAATCAATTGAGTGGTGTGATTTTCCTGGAGGGAAAGTTGGATTCACTTATGAAATGAGATTTATTTCAGATACTTCTCACACAAGGGTCCCTTGCTATCGTGTCCTTCTCGCTGATGGCGAGCCCGTGAAACAGACCAATCATGTTCAGGTATGTCATATCATAATCATATCTCCGTACCAGTATCAATGTCGTGTTGTAATATGTATCCGAACTTCTTAGAATTTTGTTGAAGAAACTTCTGGACCACATTTCAACAGGTTAGCAAAGAATTGGCTGTGAGAATGCATTTTGAGATGGTCACTCTTTAAACCATGGATAGCATATTCTATGAGCTACAGAGGCAAGGAAGAATTTCCTTCTACCTCACTACATCAGGAAAAGAAGCTGTTAACATTGCATCAGCAGCTGCGCTTTCTTCTGATGATGTTATCTTGCCTCAGGTTTGCTTCTTCCCTAAGGCATTGAAATTCCCTCGTGATTCTTTTCAAATTCAATTCCGTTTTTTATTTCACTATATCACATTTTATGCTAGTACCGAGAGCCTGGAGTTCTGTTATGACGTGGTTTCACTCTGCAACAATTCGCTCATCAATGCTTCGGAAACACAAATGATTTTGGTAAAGAAAGACAAATGCCGATACACTACAACTCTAACAAACACAATTACTTCACAGTCTCGTCGCCTATTGCGTAAGACATATATACCGTACTGTAATAAACATGTTAAAATAATTGCAACTGTTAATTTCAGACATTTATTCTGAATAAGTTCATGTTGTTTGGCAAGAAATTCAGGACACAACTTCCTCAAGCTGTAGGCGCTGCTTATTCGCTTAAAATGGACGGAAAAAGTGCTTGCGCAGTCACTTTTTGTAGGGATGGAAGTACTAGTGATGTTAGTAATGATGAATACGAGCCAAGAAATTATAGAATATCACATCACTATGCTTCTAGCTGATATTTGAAATATTCTAGGGAGATTTCTGCTATGAACTTTGCAGCAGTAATGGAGGCACCAGTTGTTTTCATATATCGTAACAACGGATGGGCCATTAGTACCCCTGTCGAAGAACAATTTCGAAGTACTCTATACAAATTCTTCCTACTTAAGTTGTTTTTTTTCAAACAAGCTCTATATCATTCTCAAGTCTATGTGATTAATTTTGGTGTTTGGTTAGGTGATGGTATTGTGGTGAAAGGTCAAGCTTATGACATATGGAGTATCAGAGTAGATGGAAACGATGCTCTTGCTGTTTATAGCGCAGTTCATACTGCACGCGAAATAGCTATAAAAGAACAAAGACCGGTTTTAATTGAGGTATATATGATTGATATTTGAATTTCATTTCACGCCAAGATGAGATTATCATTATTAATCTAATGCTGAATGATTGGTGTTCAGGCTCTTACTTATAGAGTAGGGCACCACTCTACATCTGACGATTCAACTAAGTACCGATCAACCGGTGAAATTGAATACTGGAAGATGGAAAGAAATTCCGTGAATCGATTCAAAAGATAGGTTGAAAGGAGTGGTTGGTGGAGTGAAAAGGATGAATTGGAGCTTATAAGCAGTGTTAGGAAGCAAGTGAGTTCTATTTGTTTAGTTAATGAAATTTTAGTTAGTGACTTTATAGTCCATAAATATTTTTTGGTATTCTGCAGTAACATGTTGAGTTTTGATATTACAGTTAATGCATGCAATATGGGGATAAATTGTTAAATGGGAAAACTGCATATGATTTGTGTGATTATCCAAAAAAAAAACTTCTTAGGTCGGTTAGTTATACCCGATTTAAGAAAGTAAGTTCTTAGGTCGGGTATAAATCGTTTCTGCAGGCTATACTTATTAAGTCGGGTTCTGCCTAACCGACCTAATAATAGTTTGTTAAGTCAGGTCCACAACCGACTTAAGAAGTCAAAACTTCTTATGTCGGTAATTCTTAGGTCGGGCTCGGACCCGACTTAATAAGTCATTTTTAACCGACTTAAAAAGTCTTTTTTCCACTAGTGATGTTGAACTTAATGACTCAGTTGAAGATGATGATGATAATGAAAGTACATAAAGGGTCAGTGATAGCCTTGGTTCCTCAGGTGGAAACAAAAAAGTGGAGAAAGTTATTATACCTACACATGCGGAATAGGCTATTGAAGTGATAAAAATGATGATTTAGAGCATAACTTAATCGTGGCTCAGGTTTTGACGCATGATGAGTCGCTACCTAAAAAGAAAAAACAACTAGAGAAAGGTAGAGCTATAGTGTCAGGACCCTTGGAGATTGTTCTAAGTCAACCATGTTTTTAGGTAGCCTCTTTCATTCAACCTCATGTGGGCCTAAGATGGGTATCAAAGCTTCATATATTTTGACATTGGGCCTTGATTCTCTCCCCACTTATTGAAGCCCAAACGAAAGTTCAGACCTTTTTGGAGAAATTATGGCTAAACTTTCGTAGGCCAAATATCTCTCTTTACCTAACTTAGCAATTGTAGCGAAACCATCTTACTTCTCATCTATAATTCCCTCAAAATATGGAAATTGTAAGGCTCTTTTCACTAAATCAAACACCCAAATTTCTTCCAATCATTCATTGTCCAATCCATCTGAGAAATTCTTTGATAGCTCCGGGCTTTGTTATGAGCCAATATTGGATTGTGATTTTATGTAAAGCAATAAGAGGTTTAAAGAAAATAATAAAAGGTGTTTTCTTCAACAATTTGGAAGAAGGTGTCGGAGTTAGGAATTAGAGGTGAACATGATGATTCAATTTACATCATAGAAATTAAAAGGTTGGAAAAGCTTGATAAGGAAAATATTAGAATTAAGGAAATGAAAAAAGATAGTGTTAAATGAATTTACTTTCATATAACATCATAGGATTAGGTAATGGCAGAAAACACGAATGTGTAAAGGAATTGATTCTTTAAAAAAAAAACTAATCTTTGGATACTTCAAGAAACCAAGTTGTAATCAATTGAGAATTCATTTCTCAAGTCAATTTGGGGTGATAAAGCGGTAATATGTTCAGCAAAAAAAATATTCAGGAAGGTCTGGAGGTTTATTGACTTTGTGGAATCTAATCTCTTTGTTCCTTTATCTAGTTTTGAAGGCGAAGGGTCCTTAGATATTCAGTTAGTTTGTAAGGAAGTTTTCATTTACGTAATTAATGTTTACTCATCTTGTGTGTTGTTAAAGAAAAAGGAATTTTGGGCGGAATTAATGAGGCTAAAAGAATTTTTCCAAGTGGTGAATGGTGTGTTAGGGGTGACTTCAACATAATTAAGAGATTAAGTGAAGGAAGAGGTTATGGAGAGCAATTGAACTTAGTAGAAATGACCACTTTTGTGAGTTCGTTGACGATACAGACTTAATTGGCTTACAAATAGTGGAAAACAAATTTACTTGGTTTAATGTTGTAGGATCGTCAATGAGTAGGATCGGTAGGTTCCTTATTTCTGAAGGTCTAATAGAGAAGTGGAAATCGAAAGGAAAAATGATAAGTAATAGGGCTATATCTGCTCGAATGTTTTGAATTAGGGTCCCATTCCCTTTAAATTGTTTGGGGCTTGGATGCAACATGCTGATTTCTGAATGAAAGTAGAAGAGATATGGAAGAATTCAAGTGTGCAATGCAAAATTTTTTTTTTATATTTAACGAAAAACTCTTGACTCTAAAAACCAGTTTGAAAGTGTTGAACTACGAGGTTTTTGGCAAATTGGATTTAAAAGTTTCTAAAGAGGTCATAGAGCTTAATTATTTAGATCGCTTAGTAGCATTGGATGATGTTGTTTTGGGTCAGGATCAGATTGGTCTTGACACTATAATGTTATGCATCTCTGTTTGTGACCATTTGGCATGCTCTCGATCATAATAAAGGTTAGTAAGAATCTATGAGGGGAGTTGAGATGTATTTGGAAGGATTGGCTTGTGAATCCTATCACATATTCTAGCATCCTCGATGTATTTTCTTTGTCTTGTTCTATGCTGTATATGTGTTAAGTACCTCTAGCACTCACTTATATTCAATCATTTTCTTATAAAAAAAATTAAATTATTAATATTTATAAGGCTTAATTGCAACTATGGTCCCTCTATTTTGCATTTTTTTTGGGTTTTGATCCCTCCATTTTAAAAACAACAATTTAGGTCTGTTTTTAAGTTTTGAGTTTGATTTTAGTCTCCTCTCCAATTTGAGACATTTTTTTAATGATGTGGCGCTATCCAAGATGACGTGGCAATGCCAAGTCATTTTAAAATTAATTTGAGACTTTAATTATTGATTAGGATAATTAATTTATTAATATTATTTTCATTAATAAATAAATAAATAAATTATTAATTTCAACATTATTAATTTTTATATTTAATTAATTAATCAAAATTTTAAATGAAACACTTTGAGCCTAACCTTTTTTTTTCCTATCTTTGGTCCATCTTTTTAACACAATTGATTTGTTGTGTTTGTGTAAGATATATAAACACTAACAATATTTGTAATGAAAACAATGTGGGACTACTATAACACCATCTACTATTATGCTATGTTATCTATCTCATCTTTTCACCCTCTTCCTGCTGAATAGCATGACTGACTCCACTTCATAACTGATCACTTCCGTCTCTTATTCATGGGAGGAAATGGTTAATGATGTACGAGTATTTTTGGGTGAAGGTTTATTGGTAGCCACAAGATTATGGTGTTGTCATGTTGTGTGCTGAAGTTGCAAAATCGTGTTGATTTGATTTTTGATTGATATTATTTTGTAGCCTCTTTGCTTTTAATGTAACATTTGAAAACATGGGATATCACTTCCAACGTTTTACCGGAGAAGTATGCTTTTGCCTAGACTGAGTTTGTTGGTACAGTTTCATCACCCTCTTGCACACATAAATTTATGTTGTTAATGATTTATTTGTTCGTTCTGCATGTTGACAGTCACACATAGGTTTTGCTCTCTCCTACTTAAGTAAACAAATTGATAAATTGAGCTGCACACTAGATTATAATTATATTTTGCAACACGGTTATTTAAATGCTTGTTTGGATGCCAACTGACATAAGGGAATTTTTTTTTTAAAGTAGTAATGTATTAATTTTTATTTACCAAACAAATTAACATTTCAAAAAAAATACCAAAATGGCAATGTTTGGAATTAGGCTAACAGACGTTCGCCAATTGGTTTGGCGAATTAGGCTAACAGCATCACAAGTAATTCGCCATTTGGTTTGGCGAAAGAGAGTATTTTGTGGGATTTCGCCAATTGAATTGGCGAATGAGAGTTATTTTAGGGTTTGTTGCATTTTCAATTTCCTTTTAATTATTATATAACATATTTTCGTTTTCATATTTTAAAATTTAATTGTTTTTTAATTTTAATTTTAATTTACTTTTTTGATTTAAGTTATTATTATTATTAACCATAAAAAATATAAATTTATAATCTAATTAATATTTATATAATTAATATTAATATTAATTTATAATATAAATTTTTAATGTCATCTATAATATTAAAAAAATTAAGTTTAAAAGTTTAAATTATTTTATGAAATTATAAATTTAAAGTAAATTGGGTTGCTTGTTAAATCGCCCAGCTAGGGTTTTAAACTTTCCATATATATTTTTGGGGTGACATTCATCAATGGATGTATAGCCACCCCAGTGGTAATCACTTTGTCATCAAATGCGCATTTCACCTTGGTAGCCTGGGTTCAATCCCTGAGGAAGATCAATCTTTTTGTATAATTATGTTTTTACATTTTTTTGCATTTTATTTTCACTTGTTGTGATGTATTTGCGCACTAACTTATTGTTTGTTAATTATCATTTTTTTTGGCTATAAATACGAGCTCAAACACAAGTTTTTTTTCACAACATTATTTCCTAAAAGACTAAAGCGGTAGTGCGGTTTGAGTTGAGCGGAGTCCATAATGTCTGCATTTCTGAATCAACGTTCTTCTTCTTCGTCATCAGCATCGGAGGAACCTTTTCCAACGTTTGATATAATGAAAAGAAATGCACTTGTGGTGTTTTCAGCAACAAAGCCTCCGATGAAGGTGCTCCTGTGGAATACGCAGACGTTGGAACACTTGCACAGGGAACTGAACCGCTGGCTAGAAGGGGATATTGCTCAAGGAGAAAAGATTAGGAAAATTGAGAGGTTGGTGGAGAAGACCGATAGAAACGGAGTTACTCGTGAATGGAGAAAAGTGGAAAATGATGCCGGCGTCCTTGTGATGATGTTGACACCAAAGGAGATAAAGTTGATGGTCGTGATATCGTAGACGCTCTGTTCCGGTGTTTTGGTGTATGTTTTTAATTTGTTGTTATGTTTGTTTAATTTATGAAAGTTAACTCTGCTTGTAATAGAAGGAAATTTGCAGTTACCTCTGCCTGTAATAGCATGAAATTTGATTTTAATCAAATGAAAGTTACTTTTGATTTAAATGGACACGTTTACAAATGAAACTATGATCTGCTGCTCGGACCAACGTTTGGACACGTCGTACGATTGTGTCCT